TGGAGAAATTAAGTAACAATCGAGGGTGCCTGGCAGAAGCACACATGAAACTGCTCTGAGGAAACACAACTCAACCTAAGGCACATAGCATTCTCAAGGAGAAAACTCTGCTCTGGATGAGTACCTGATCTAATCTTCCAAAATGCAAAATGCATGAGGACAATTCCTCATGAACAAGAGTCAATAGACACCATCATCAGCATCATACTTCTGTGAACTTGAGATAATGGATTTTTCAGATAAAAACTATGTTTTTCTTTAAGATTTTATTTATTTGGGAGATAAAGAGAATGAGCATGTAAGCCTGAGCAGGAAAAGGGGCAGAGGGAAAGGGGTAAGCCGACCTTGCATTGAGCGTGGAGCCCAATGCAGGGCCCATCCCAGGACCCTGAAATCATGATCCCAGCCAAAGTTGGATGCTTAACGAACTGAGCACTCGGGTGCCCTGATAAAAACTATGTTTGTAATGATTAACAACATTTAAGAAACAATGAAGATGTAAAAATGATACCACACCAAGAAGAGTTGAAAATAAATTGAAATTTGGGTGCTTCAGTAGCTCTGTTATTTGAGTGTCTGACTCATGATTTCAGCTCAGGTCATGATCTCAGGATTGTGAGATTGAGCCCCACATCAGGTTCCATGTTGGATGTGGAGCCTACTTAAGATTCTCTTTCTCCCTCTGCTCCTCTCTCACTTCTCTAAAAAAAGAATGAATGAAAGAAAGAAAGAAAGATTAAAAATTTAAAAAATTGGGGGATCCCTGGGTGGCGCAGCGGTTTAGCGCCTGCCTTTGGCCCAGGGTGCAATCCTGGAGACCCGGGATCGAATCCCACGTCGGGCTCCCGGTGTATGGAGCCTGCTTCTCCCTCTGCCTGTGTCTCTGCCTCTCTCTCTCTCTCACTGTGTGCCTATCATAAAAAAAAAAAATTAAAAAAATTTCTAGAAATGAAAAATATAGTAATTTAAGTTAAAAAATCAGGGGGAGGGGATCCCTAGGTGGCGCAGCGGTTTAGCGCCTGCCTTTGGCCCAGGGCGCGATCCTGGAGACCTGGGATCGAATCCCATGTCAGGCTCTCGGTGCATGGAGCCTGCTTCTCCCTCTGCCTATGTCTCTGCCTCTCTCTCTCATTCTGTGTGACTATCATAAATAAATAAAAATTTAAAAAAAAAATCAGGGGGAGGGTTAAACAGCCAATTAGACACAAAGAGAGGAATATTGAACTGAAAGAGCTGAATATAATATAGAGAAATAAAATCATAACTATAAAAGGGAGATTCAGAATGAAGAAATTAATATCTCACTAATAAGAGTTCCAGTAGGAGAAAGTAGCAAGAAGGAAGGAGAGGCAATATTTGAAAGGTATGGATAAGAATTAGCCAGAATTAATGATAGGCATGAGTTCTAATATTTGGCAAGCTTGAATCTATTCAAATAGAGTAAATAAGCATATGTCTACATATAAACATCAGAATACCAAAAACAGAGGAAGTGTTAACATCTGGGGAAGAAAATGGATACTGACTTCACGAAAGTATTATATTATCCACTCTAGTGTGGTTAATTTTATTATTCAATCTAGTATCCTTGACACATTTTTTTAAAGATTTTATTTATTTATTTATTTGAGAAACAGAGAGAGGCAGAGACACAGGCAGAGGGAGAAGCAGGCTCCATGTCAGGAACCCGATGCGGGACTCGACCTCCGGTCCCCAGGATCACACCCCGGGCCAAAGGCAGCTCTAAACCGCTGAGCCATCTGGGGGGCCCTCCTTGACGTATTTTATAATAATAGAAGAGAAAAATTAACAAGGATTCAAGAACATATTGGTTAAGGGATGGGGCCTCCAGAATAACTGAGGAGCTCAGCAAATCCTCTCCTTAAAAAGCAATGATAAGACTATGTAAAATTGTCATAGACAGTCACTTCAGGACTCTAGAAATTGACCAAAAGGCATACATCATATTGAGAAGCATTTATTCAAGAAAAACTACCAAACCTTCATGTCATTTTACCCAGTGGCGTCTCCAATCTTCCTCACTCAGTTCTGTGGTGAGTCCTAATGGGGCAGGGAAGTTTGTGAGGAGTAGGAGCTTTGTCCTTAGAAGGAGCCAATTGGATTTGGAGCAGAGCTTAGAAAACACTTGCCCATGGACATTGTTGAAAACAATAGCAATCTAGTGGCAATCAAGGAAAGCCAACACTGCAGCTAGGCTGAAGTTATGATACTAGTGGGGACAAGCAACAAAATGGCACGCCTGCCAGACATTTAGCAGAGAGATCTGGGAACAAGATAGCCACAGTGAGCCTTGATAAGCTTTCACACAGCCCTGGTGGTCTGAAAGGCTGCACACTTGCACAAGACTTTACACATGCTCACGAGCGCTTAGAGAGCGTCCTAGCTATCTAGTCTTCCCTGACTGAATGTGAGGCCCAAGCAGGCAGAAAGTAAAAGGCGGGTAAATCTGTAAACTGCTCGAATTTTCAGCATGTTTCCAAAACCACAGAGAGCTCCATTGGTATAGACTAGAAGTGTTATTGGCTCAAGATGCTTAATTAAGTGTAACCTGAATAAATAAAATGTGGCATATCCACACAATGGAATATTAGTTGTCCAAACAAAACAAAACAAAAGAAACTAACTCCTGGTACCTGCTATAATATAAACCTCAAAAACATTACACTAGGAAAAGAAGTTAGATACAAGAAACCATATAATGTATGATTCCATTTATACGAGATGATCAAACAAGGCAAAAAAACAAGTTTTTTTCCTTTTTAAAAAAACATTTATTTATTCATGAGACACACACACACACACACACACACAGAGAGAGAGAGAGAGAGAGAGAGAGAGAGAGAGAGAGAGAGGCAGAGACACAGGCAGAAGCAGGCTCCATGCACTCAATCCTGGGTCTCCAGGATCACACCCTGGGCCAAAGGCGGCGCTAAACCGCTGAGCCACTGGGGCTGCCCAAACAAGGCAAATCTATAGAGGAAGTAGGTTTGAGTTGCTTGGAATGAGGAGAGAGATTGATGGTAAATGTGAATGAGGGGTCTCTGATGAGAATGTTCGAAACTGGGTTGTGGTGATGCTTACATAACTACAAATTTACTAAAAAAAATCATTGAATTTAAAATGTGTGATTTTTTTGACATGCAAATTGTGCCTCAACAAAGTTGTCAAAAAGTTGTCAAGGCTAATATTTTAAGATGTTTTAATTTTTAAAAACTCCTACCTTGCCAGAGGCTGGAGAAGATGAAAATAGGACTTGATTGCTTACTGGGAATGGAGCTGCCTCTTGTGGGGATGAATATGTTCTGGAACTAGATGGAGATGGTAGCTGCATAGTACTGCACAATATACTGTCACTGAATTCTACACTTTAAAATGGTTGGAAAGGTAATTTTTGAGTGTTTTACAATAATAAAAAACAATAATACAATAATACAATAATAAATAAAATAATAAAATATATCACTTGATATAAAGGAAACTGCAATAAAACTTACTATACATTTTTTCCTAGAGGATTTTTAAAACCTTTTTATTTTGAGGGGTGCCTGGGTGGCACAGTCTGTTGAGCATCCCACGCTTGGTTCTGACTCAGATCATGGCCTCAGGATTGTGAGGTCGAGCCTGAGTCAAGCTTTGGGCTCTGCACTCAGTGAGGAGTCTACTTGAGATTCTCTCTTTCTCTTCTGCTGCTTCTCCCCGTTCTGTCTCTGTCTCTTCAAAATACGTAAATAAATCTTTAAAAAACAAAACACAACACAACTTTTTGTTTTTAAATAACTATAGGCACATAAGAAATTGCAAAAATAGTAAGGAGAGGTCCTATGTACCCGGTTTCCCCTAATGGTAGCATTTTATCATATAGTAGCAACAGTACATTGTCCAAATCAGGAAGTTGGCATTGGCACAGTACAATTAATTAAACTATAGACCTTACTCAATTTTTTTTTTTGTGAATTGTTTTAAAAGCTATAAAATACCCAGCTGGGGCACCGGGGTGGCTCAGTGGTTGAGCGTCTGCCTTTGGCTCAGGTCATGATCCTGGGGTCCAGGGATCAAGTCCTGCATCAGGTCCCTGCATGGAGCCTGCTTCTCCCTCTGCCCATGTCTCTGCCCCTCTCTGCGTGTCTCTCATGAATAAATAATAAAATCTTAACAAAAAGGGGGTGGTGGTGGTAGTGGAAATGAAGAAGGTGGTATGGAGACAGAAACAAATGGATGGAAAATGGTTTTGGAAATCACAGAAGGAGAAATCCAGGAGAGCCCATAGGTTTCTGGCTTGAGCCACTTGGTGACAGGTGGGACACTTACCGAGATGGAGAAGTCTTGGGAAGGAATTGGCTTACAGGAGAAATCATGAGTTAGGAGAGGTCTCTGAGACATCTAAGGTAAGTCCATAAGGCTGTTGGGTATGAGGTCTGGAGAATAGAAGAGAGATCTGAGCCTAGTTACACGTTTGGAGAGAGGGGCATCACACAGACACTAATTAGTCTCTCAGTTCCCTCTCATCTCTGCTCATGTATCCCACAAATATTTATTAAATGATTCTGTCTTAGGGATGCAGAGCTAAAAAAGACAGTCAAGTTCCATCTCTGCCCTCATGCAGACTGCTGGGATATCACAGACAGGACTGGGTAGCGGCTCTGCCCAGGCAGGCTACAGAAGGGAGGTCACAATGTATACTTTATGATGAGGTCTGTGGTATGATTGGTGGCATGGGGGACCACACTGAGAGCTAATCCTTCCTCCTGAAGGAGGATATGGGACCCACCATATGTTATCTCTCTGCGCTTGCACTTTCCATCCCAGGGCCAGCTAGGTCCTCTCTGGAGGTGAGCAAATGGGCAGGGAGGCAGGAGGTATGATGTGGTGGGTTGGGGAGGCATAGGGGCCAAAGGGGCAGAGAGAGCCTAGGGCCTCAGTTTCTCCTCCTTCTCAATCCCAGGTAGAGAAGTCAGTCTGCTGTCTGTCTGCCCCAGGACATGAAGCACTTGTGGCAGATTTTTGTCCTGTGGGTCTTCTGGGTACTCATCATGTGGCTGATGGCACCCTGCCTGGATCCCAAACCTGAATTGCCACCCCAGGGAAAACCGATGGTCTTGGTACCACGGCATTGCAACTGCCCTTGGCTCAAATTCAGGAGAAGTGGCTGCCCATCTGAGACACTAAACGACTCCCTCTGCTACCACAGAGCTGGAGAACGGAACCGATTTGCTACCTGCTATGAGAAGGCCCTGGAACACCTGATGGGGGCAACAGAATCCATGACCCCTGATACTGTACTCTGGTGGTTGGTCAGTGGTCAACCCTGGCCCCAGTCCCACCCCTGGTCCTTCCAAGGCCCAGCCCATGTCCCACTTTCTCACCCAGCCCCTGCCCTCGGCCCTGGTTTAGCGCACCTCTCCTCCTCATGGCCTCAAACCCTGACCACCAGTATAAGGATCTCACCCTCCAGGTCTGCTTTCTTTCCACTAGAGCCGATACCCAGCTCCCAGCCCCCGGTCTTCTTTCTGCTGTTTCCAGGGCATGAACTCAGCAAGTGGCCTTGGCAAAATGTGGGAAAAGCTGTTCAAGGTGATTCCCAGGCCCTCAGCGAGCCATTTCCATATCTACTGTGGGACTTGTGCTTTGATGGGGCACTCCCAGACCCTGTGGGGCCCTGGCCTTACCAGCAACGTCCACCAACCCACCTCAGCCTTCGGGTGGGTGCCGGGAGAGGGCAGGGCATGGGAAGGGCGTGGCTGCCCTCAGAGCTCTGCCAGTTTCTGCCCTCCTTCCCAGGATGAACGAAGGCTGTGTCCAGGGCTTCGAGACAGTGGGGAACCAAGCCACGGGACACTTCATCCATCCCGGGAATGCCAGCAACCAGGGCTCCTGGAGAAAGCTGCTGCTGCTGCTGCTGCAGTTTCCTGGTCTGGTGTGGACTTCAGATGCTCTGCGTGAGGAGGTGATGGTCTGGGAACCCAGATGTTCTTAGCACTGGAGTGAGGGGCGGTCACTGCAGGGAGGACAGAGGGGCTCCTGGCAGAACCTTCCCAGATTCTCAGTCTGCCAAGACTCCCCCACCTCTCAATTCTCTTACATTTTGGAGGGTGGTCCAGTGCCCTCGTGGAATGGAAGACCACAAAGACCAAGTAAGGGGACGGGAGGGAGGAAGATGTGGCTGTTGGCTGCCGTGCGAAGGGGCCCAGGTCGGCCCCCTCTCCTGTCTTCCCTACCTCCTGGTGATCAGCCTTACCTTCCTCAGGTATAACCAGGGCAACTGGCTGAATGATCAGGGTCAGTATGCTTCTGTGGGGCTCGTGGCTCTCTTCTGTACACCTGTGACCGGGTTAGGAAAGGTTCTTGTCCATTTCTCACACAAGATTTCTCTCCTTCAGGCCTTCAACACAGAGTCTAAAAATTTCAAGACCCTGCATCATCTCCCAGGCTCACACACTGGGCTTCTTGGTGTCCCCCAAAACATACCAGCTACCTTCTGCTTTCTCACACACTGCTGCTTCTGCCTGGAATGCCTTTCTCTTGTTTCCCTGGGGAGTCCTCTTTTCCTCCAATATGATGAGGAGCAGCTAGTTGATGCTCTCCTTGCCGGGCTCTGGGATCACACTGTGTGTTCAGTGTGTGTCTTCCCTGGGGAAGGTGAGCTCTGTTCTCCTCCCAGCTCCAGGAGGCAGGCTGTCACACTTGATGCTGAGTGAGGGCAGTGGGGACAAAGGCACGAATCAGCCTGCTGACACATTATATTCCTCTCTCATTCGCCAGGATGCCTGCTTCAGATTTGGATCAGAAAAGCAAGGAGAGGGATGCCAAGACTGGGAGGGTGTTAATCGGACTAAGAGCACTAAGGAGATTCTATGTGCAGCACGGAAGCAGGAATGGAAGTCAGCTACGGTGTGGCGGGTGAACTCACTGTCCACACCCGACACCCACCAGAGTCCCCACAAGTCCTAGTCCTTTGAGCGTCAAGGCAGGTTCTTGGGACAGTGGTGGTGACAGCAGCAGCAGGACCATGAGGACTTTCAGGGGTCAAAGGCAAGAGGAAATTATATGGATACCACTCAGTCTAGTGCTGAATAAAATTCTCGTCGGATCTGTTGCCTACAAGGACAGGGTCAGGAGATGAAGAGCCAAACTTGATTTCCAGATCTCAGGGGCAGTATTTATGTTACTTTCTCTGCTTGACCCTGGATGATGCAGGTGGTGTAGATTTAGACCCAATCTCACACAAAATGCAAGGCCAGACAGAGTTCTTGGGGGAAGCTCTTTTCCCATCTGAGGAAAGAGTTGTATAAGCCTTTGTATTTCATCCTGTACTGGGGGTGGATTTTTTTCTAGCTTAGCTTTTCACCAAAGGTTCAGCTCCTTGAGGTTCCTAGTGTTTTACAGTGACCTCTGTTCCTCCTCTGCCTCCCCTGGGCTCAAAGTCCTCAGCCCACATAGGCATTAAACTCCTAAGTTCTTGGACAAGCACTCAGTCAGCTAGATCACTCCTTGTGCTGTTTTTCAGGGGACTTCCTGTTTTATTTGGGCCTCTGCTCTGTGTTTAAAATAATTCTTGCTAAAATAATATATGCACTGGTAAATTTTTCAATTAACTCAGGAAGGATACACAAGACACTAGGGATGGTAGTTGCTGCTGGTAGTTGCCAGATACAAACTGTCTCTGGAAAATAAGTGGGGGAAAAGGTGGGGATGGATTTTCTTTCTTTCTTTCTTTTCTTTTCTTTCTTTTTTTCTTTTCAATGATTTTTAATTCACTTTTTGTACCTTTTGGACTATGTGTCATGGACCCATAATACACATTAAAAAAATAAATACAACTAAAAAAATTTACTATTTTTTAAAAATATTTATTTATTGGGATCCCTGGGTGGCGCAGCGGTTTGGCGCCTGCCTTTGGCCCAGGGCGTGATCCTGGAGACCCGGGATCGAATCCCACGTCAGGCTCCCAGTGCATGGAGCCTGCTTCTCCCTCTGCCTGTGTCTCTGCCTCTCTCTCTCTCTCTCTGTGTGTGACTATCATAAAAAAAAAAAAAATATTTATTTATTTATTCATGAAAGAGAGAGAGAGATGCCCTGGGCTGAAGGTAGCGCTAAACCGCTGGGCCACAGGGGCTGCCCAACTAAAACAAAAATTAACACTAAAAGGGCAACAGGGTAGCTCAGCTGGTTGAGCATCCAACTCTTGATTTCAGCTCAGGTCATGATCTCAGGGTCGTGAGATTGAGCCCCATGTTGTGTGTATGGGGGTGGTCCCCACTCAGCAGGGAGTCTGCTTCTCTCCTTCTCACCCTGCCCCTACTCTCTAAAAATAAATAAATAAGTAAGTAAGTAAATAAATAAATAAATAATAAAATCTTTTTGAAAATTTAGTTACTATATTTTGACCAGGGGTTCTGGATTTTTGTAGCAGGAGAGTTTTCAGGTTATCTTTTCATTTACTATTTTGCTAGAACTGGAGCCCAAACTAAGTCTTCAAAGCTCTCCTGCCATGAGTATGAGTGAGGTGGGTGAGTATGTGGTAAGTTTGATGATTCCTCAGAAAGTTAAACAAAGAATTACCATAGGAGCCAGCAGTTCTACTTTTAGGAAAATACCTAAGAGAAATGAAAACATACGTCCACACAGAAACTGGTACACAAATATTTAGCAGCATTATTCACAATAGCAAAAAGGCAGAAACAACCCAAATGTCTAGTGGTGAATGAATGGGTAAACAAATTGTGGTACGTCCATACACTGTGATATTATTCAGCTATCAAAAGGAGCAAAGTATTAATACATGCTACAGGGGCACCTGGGTGTCTCAGTCAGTTAGGCATATGCCTCAGCTCAGGTCATGATCTCAGGGTCCTGGGATCAAGCCCTGAGTCAGGTTCAGCAAGGAGTCTGCTTGTCCCTCTCCCTCTGCCTCCCCGACTGGTACTCTCTTTCAAATAAATAAATAAATAAATATAAAATCTTTTAAAAAAAATATAATACACGCTACATCTTAGAAGAACTACAAAAACATTATGCTAAGTGAAAGAAGCCAGACACAAAAGATCACATATTGTATGATTCCTTTTATATGATATATATGGAATAGGAAAAGCCACAGAAAAAGAAAGCAGATTAATGGTTACCAGGGGTTGGGGACAGGAGGCAACAGCGAGTGATGATTTAATGGGAACATGGTGTTTTTAAGAGAAGTTGAAAAAAATCTTTTTTTAAAAATTTAATTTATTAATGAGAGACAGAGAGAGAGAGCACGCAGCAGAGACACAGGCAGAGGGAGAAGCAGGCTCCACGCTGGGAGCCTGACACGGAACTCGATCCCGGGTCTTCAGGTGATCACGCCATGGGCTGAAGGCAGCGCTGAACCTCTGAGCCACCCGGGCTGCCCTGAGCCACCTGGGCTGCCCAAAAAAAGTCTTGAAAATAGAGCTGGTGGCTGGCTACACAACATTGTGAGTACATTAAATGCCACTGAATTGCATACCTGAATAGTTCATTGTATTATGTGTGTTCTGTGAATTTCACCTTGATAAAAAAAGCAGTTGCATAAAAATGCATATCACGTGATTACATCTAATGTTAAAAAATATACACAATTAAATAATATACTGCTTAGATACACAATGATGTAGTAAAAATAAAATGCCAAGGGAATGATAAATACAAATTTCTCCGTATTGTTAACATCTGGCAGGGAAGAAGGAGCATCCGTCTTCAGTGATTAAGATAGGTGCATGGGGGGCACCTGGAGAACCTGGGTGGCTCAGTCAGTTAAGCAGAAAGCTCTTGATTTTGGCTCAAGTCATGATCTCAGTCATGAGATGGAGCCCCAGGTCAGGGCTCTGCACTCAGTGGGGTGCAGAGATTCTCCTCTCCCTCTCTCCCTGCCCCTCCCCACCTCAAATAGATAAATCAGTCTTTTTTTTTTTTTTTTTTTTTAAATATATATTTTTTTAATTTTTTTATTTATTTATGATAGTCACACAGAGAAAGAGAGAGAGGAAGAGACACAGGCAGAGGGAGAAGCAGGCTCCATGCACCGGGAGCCGGACGCGGGATTCGACCCCGGGTCTCCAGGATCGCGCCCTGGGCCAAAGGCAGGCGCCAAACCGCTGCGCCACCCAGGGATCCCTAGATAAATCAGTCTTAAAAAAAAAAAAAAAAACAGGTACATGGGTATTTGTTTTCTTTTATATTCTTTTATATGTATTTAATATTTTAATACAATTTAAAGACATAATAAGGAAGGAAAACCTGTCACATGCTGTAACATGGATGAGTCTTGAGGACATTAGGCTAAGTGAAAGAAACCAGACACAAAAGACAAATAATACATGATTCCTCTCTCATAGGAACAGAAAGTATAATGGTAGTTTCCAGAGGCTGAGATGGAGGGGAAGGGGAAGTTATTGTTCAATAAGAGTTTCAATTTGGCAAGGTGAAAAGTTCTGGAGATCTCTTTCAAAATGTAAATATACTTAACTGCCCACTTAAAAATGGTTTAGATGGTAAATTTTATGTTATTTACTTTTTACCACAACCAAAAAATTATAGTAATTAGAATTTAATTTTAGATACGTGGAAGAACTGTTGGCAAGTTCAGGTATGCATGAACTCACTAAAAAAGTTGCAAAAATTTTTTTAAAAGTTGCATGCTAGGGTAATAGTGTTCTAGCTATAATTGTAATCATTTGTCAAAGGCAACAAGCAAATATAAAATAAGTGGAACTATATCAAACTAAAAATCTTCTTCTGCCCGGCAAAGGAAACCATCAACAAAATGAAAAGGTATACTACAGGAGACAATATTTGCAAATCCTATATTTGATAAGGGATTAATTAACATCCAAAATATATAAAGAACTCCTACAACTCAATAGCAAAAAAAAAAAAAAAAAAAAAAAAGAACAATCCAATTGAAAAATGGGCAGAGGGCAGCAGCCTGGGTGGCTCAGTGGTTTAGCACTGCCTTCAGCCCAGGGCATGATCCTGGAGACCCGGGATCGAGTCCCACATGGGCTCCCTGCATGGAGTCTGCTTCTCCCTCTGCCTGTGTCTCTGCCTCTGTGTGTGTGTGTGTGTTGTGTGTGTCTCTCATGAATAAATAAATAAAATCGTAAAAAGAAAGAAAGAAAAATGGGCAGAGAAACTGAATAGATGAGTTTTTAAAATTATTTAGGTATTTATTTATTAAATATTTTATTTATTTGAGAGAGAGAAAGAGCACAGGCAGAGAGCCCCACATGAGGCTTGATCCCAGGACCCTGGGATCATGACCTAAGCCAAAGGCAGATGCCTAACCAACTGAGCCACCCAGGTGCCCCAAGATTTTATTTATTTGAGAGTGAGAGAAAGCAGGTGTACAGGAGAGGAGGAGAAGCAGAGGGTCAAGCAGACTCCCCACTGAGTGAGGAGCCTGATACGGGCCTTTATCCCAGGACCCAAGATCATGACCTGAGCCAAAGTCAGACACTTAACTGACTGAGCCACCCAGGCACCCTGAATAGACAGTTTTCCAAAGAAGACCTGCAAAAAAATGGTCGACAGGGGCACCTTGGTGGCTCAGTCAGTTAAGCTTTTGCTTTTGGCTCCAGTTATAATCCCAGGGTCCCAGGATTGGGCCCTGCATCAGGATCCTTGCTCAATGAGGAGTCTGCTTCTTCCTCCCTCTCTGTCCCACCCCCCCACCCCCACAGCTTGTGCTTTATCTCTAGCTTTGCTCTCTGTCAAATAAATAATAAAATCTGTAAACAAAACAAAAACAAAAAATGGTCAACACGTACATAAAAATGCTCAACATCAGGAAAATGCAAATCAAAACCACAGTGAGATATCCCCTCACACCTGTCAGAATGGCCATCACCGACATGGTACGATAATACCAAATATTGTATAGTTGAAAAGTGCTAAGAGAATAGATTTTAAAAGTCTTCATCACAAGGGACGCCTGGGTG